CTGTTCAATACTTGCAAGCCAGAACGAAAGCTCTGGTAACGTCAGAGCGTAGGCGGAGCTACCACGAGCCGGGGAAGGACTTGGGATCCGGCCCGCGGGCCGTAGTTATGAGAGACCACCACTCATGAAGGATATAACAAGAAGGGAAGAAGCCAACTTCCACCGACTGAGACTGGGATACCCATGCATATGGGAAATCATAGTACAAGTACCAGCAGAGCAGCGCATGTGCGAGACCTGCGACAGCGGAGCAGAAAGCTCACTGCAGCACTACCTCAGAGTGCCCTGGAACACAATTAGCTAGAAGAAACATACAACCCCCTATCACAGCAGAGAGATGGTTGCCAAAATGCTAACCACCAACCACTCTCAAGAAACCCTACAGTTTCTTACCGAGCATCCACCCCCATGCTAGTGGTGGAGATGTACAATTAACTAAAAATATGCTGGTGTTTTATTCCAACAAATCTTAAAAAAACAAAACAAATGAAGTTACCCAGTGTATTCAAGTCAATGATGATATTTGGTAACTTGTTCCACTCCTCCACTACTCTATTTCCCACGTTATCTATCTCGCTCCTAAATCTAAATTTGTCTAATGTAAAACTATTGCTACGAGTTCGCTCCCGGTTGGATAATTTGAGTACCTTTATTATATCACTTTTGTTTTGCCCTGACTTCAATTTATACACCTCGATCATATAGCCCCTCACTCTACATCTCTCTAGGGAGTGCAAATTAAGATGCTTTAACCTGTCGCTGTACACAAGGTTCCTAATTCCCGGGTATAGTCATGTCATTCTCCTTTGAATTATTTCTAGGGATTCTATATCTAGTCTGTAGTACAGTGACCAGAACTGAACTGCGTAATCCAAGTGAGATCTCACAAGCGCAAGATATACAGTCGTTTTACGATAACCTCGCTTGTCTTGAACCTAGCACTCCTTTGTATGAACCCAAGTACTTTGTTTGCCTTGTTTCGAGCAAATACACATTGTTGACTTGGTTTAAGATTCCTACTTATCAGTACTTCTAAATCTTTTAACGCAGTCGGATTTCTTTATAAGAATGTTGTTCATCTGATATCTGATTTCTCTCCTTACATCTCCTAGACTAAGTACTTTACATTTGTCCACGTTTCATCTGCCATTTTTCAGACCATTCGAATTTTTTTTTAATCTTCCTTTAGTTTTACGGGGTCCTCGTCAGAATACACACCCTATTTTAGTGTCATTAGCAAATTTACTTTTGTTGCTGTCTATGCCTACATCTATGTCGCTTATGTATATAATAAATAGTAATGGTCTACAATAGGTACTGAGCCCTAATCCATTTTAGAATATCTCCTTCAGTGCCATGAGCCTCCACTTTTCTTATTAGTCTATTGTGGTGGACTCTGTCGAAGGCCTTGCTAAAGTCGAGGTATACCACATTATAATCGTGCTCCTTGTCCACTGATTCGAAAACAGTTGAAAAGGATGTAAATAGATTAGTTAGACATGAACGTCTACTTGTGAAGCCACGTTGGGAATTATTGATCGACTTGTGCTTCTCCAGGTGATTTCGAATAGATTTTGAAATTATTGCTTCCAGTAATTTGCCTACAATTGATGTTAAGCTGATTAGACGGTAGTTAGAGGATAGTACTCTCTCACCCTTCCTGAAAATCGGTATCACATGCGCTATCCTCCAGGATTCTGGTACTACACCCGTTTTTAATATATTAAAAGATTTGCCAAGGTCATATTAAGTTCTTCCTTACATGCCTTTAATACTCTGGCAAATATCTCATCGGGACCTGATGATTTATCAGGCTTTAGCTTGTCTATATGGTTACTAACGTCATTACTAGTCAATACTATCTCTCTTAATCTGCTTTCTTCACTATCTCTGTATATAGTCGGTACCTCGGGTATCATGTTTAAATTTTCGGTGGTGAAAACTGTTGAAAAATATCTGTTCAGATTATTGCTCATTTTTCCGTCGTTATCCGGTAGCTCGCTGGTCTCTAACTGTATTGGTCCAATCTTTTCTCGTGTTTTAGTTTGCTACATTTGAAAGAATCCCTTGGGGTTTGACTTCGCTTCCCTTGCTACCTTCAGTTCATTATTCCTCTTTGTTTTTCTTATCTCTGTCTTAACCCTACTGGCCAATACGTAAAAATAATCTCGGAGGTAAACTTCATCACGATATATTCTCCTGCCTATAGCCTTTCTTTGTCCAATAATATTCTTTAAATAATTATTTATCCATTTAGGGTCATTGTTGTCTGGTCTGAGTTTTCTGTATGTTATGCTCTGCCTTTGTGCATTGAGTAACTCATATTTAAATTGTTGTGGAACTCCCAACCTCAGATCTCGTGATCAGGTCATCCTCACCCGTCATATTTTGTAAGGTTGTCGTTGTCAGGTCTCCAGGGAAAGTGAGGTCACCCTTTGTGGGTTTATAGTGTGAGTTCACTTCACGTTAGGTCATGTAATTCACCCCCAAACGTGATACCCCTTCTCTCAGATTACAACTTGTCACGTTTAATATGTAACATGTACAGTATAGACATCATTTTATGTTCTATACCTGGTGATATAATAACGTGGTTAAGCAACATATCATACAATAGTTTTGGTTATAACTCTGTCTTATTTCGTATGTGACCTGTGTATTTTATGTTACAGCTTGGTTCACATTTAAAATATGTATGTCATCATTATCTATGAAGACCATTGACGAGAAAGTTGTCTAACAGACAAAGGTGCTTCCAAATTGTAACATAATCTTAATAGCTCGATTTTAAACCACCGAATGTTTCTTTGATAAAGTAATTCAAAACTTTGATATGTCATCATAGGCGTTAAAATTTACCCTTGCCTCGTATTAGCCTTTAATTCTGCCATTTCGATTGCAAAAGAGCCACACTGTTTTACATCTGTCTTAAAACAAAAGACTTAGTAAGCAACTCATGGAATCTATCTTTGAAATTAGCTGCCATTTTCTGTCTGTATCCGTGGGAAGTAGAGAGTTAACTGAGCTGGGAACAGTTAAACGGAAACGTGCGAAGCTTCTATTGCGAAACTTGTCTTCAGGTCAAGCCTGACCTGGACTGACTTGACCTACGTTAATTCCTTGACCATAATTTATGGTCCCGACTTAACGAGACAGCTCCTGTCGGCCACGTGATTGCTGTAAGACCTCGGTGACTCCAGCGACCCCATGAGCTCTATGGCAGCCCAGTGATTCTATGAGCTCTATGCGAACACTTACGATGCATCATGCGACCCCGTGTTTGGGAACCACTGGTATAAACAATGACAAACTGACGTGTCTATAATGCTGAACAAGGACAAATTGACATGTCTCCATTGGCAATTAACCACCATCTTAAGAGGCCATCACACGGGGCAAAATTTCCCCATTCTTAAAAAAACATAAGAACATAAGAAAATAAGGAGTCTGCAATAGGCCGGTTGGCCTGTGCATGGCAGCTCCTGTCGAGAGTTACTACCACTCTCTATCATCCATGAATCTATCTAGCCTCCTTTTGAAACTTTCCAGAGTTCCCGCACTTACTACAAAGTTGCTAAGCTTGTTCCACTCGTCCACCACTATTTGTGAACCAGTCTAAACTTACAACAATCCGTTGCTCCGAGTCCTATCCTGCTCGGATATTATAAGAACTTTATCTATATCCCCTTTATTGATTCCTTTCACCCACTTAAATACTTCTATCATATCTCCCCGCACTCTTCGTCTTTCTAGGGAATGCAAGTTAAGTTTCTTTAACCTATCCTGATATGGAAGGTTTCTAAGTCCCTGAATCATTTTTGTCATTCTTCGCTGCACCGACTCTAGTGAATTTATATCCATTCTATAATAGGGGCACCAGAACTGAACCGCATAATCGAGGTGCGGCCTAACTAGCGCAAGATATAGTTGCAATAAGAACCTCTGCACTCTTGTTACTTACACTTCTAGATATAAAACCCAATACTCTGTTTGCCGTATTTCGAACATTAACGCACTGTTTTCTAGGCCGTAGGTCCGGGCTTACAAGTACCCCTAGGTCTCTTTCACAAGTCGGCTTCTCTAGGTTGATGTTGTTCAGGCTGTATACATTATAAGTATTTGTTCTTCCAGCGATACCGCCGTTCTCGGTCAGATTTCCTTCTTAAAAACTGAGATATGAGGAAAACAGAAAATTTGGTAGTTCTCGAGCATGTTTTGATTGCATTTTGGGTCTAATTGAGGTTTTTAGTATTTATTATTGAAATGCTATGATTTTATTAAAATGAATTATTAGGTAAAAATTTTGAGTCATTTTAATGCAAATATCTTATCATTAGAATTTTCTTTATACATATTGAGAAAAAATTGAGATAAAATTTCATTTGACAATACATTCAGCCAGCATGGATTATCAAGCCTCACCAATTATTTGGACAAGGGACTCTGAAACTTCCCTTGTTGATAAAGTGACGGAATGTAGAGTCTTGTGGGATTTCAGACACCCATTGTATCTCAAGAAAAAATTTAAAACGGCGCAAAGCTTTTGGACAACCCACCATCTTCGTTGTTCAGGAACGATAGCTATGTGTGAACGGCGCCACAATTCAAAGTGCGATTGGAATATTTATTTTTTTGACCAAGAATATAGAAATGAGTACCAAGAACGACGTAAATTTGCCTAGTGTAATATCCTCTTCAATTGTCTAAATTAGCAATCAGTGATGAATTAAATAGACTAAATTCTCTGTCACTAACAAACTAACTTGTCTAAATTAAAAATCAGCCTCCGTCTTATTGTCTAAATTGACGATCACCTCCAAAATAACTTCTCTAAGTTAGCAATCGGTGATAAATTGACATGGTAAAATTGACTGCCAAAAACCGTTCTTAGATGCCTAAACTGACAATAACTGACAGAATAGCGTGTCACAATTGGCTATTAATCATCATTTCGGGTGTTGTAAACTGGTCCTTATTCAACTATATCAACCCTCCATCAGGGACACTGTTTGGGATCTGCAACACCTTCGCCTCCATTTCCTCCTTCATCTCCCCGATGGCTGTGGGAGCCCTCACCAGAGGCCAGGTTAGTGTGAAGATTAATTTGTACCTTTTTCCTCACTCTCCTGCCATAAACCAAATTCCCAGTCACATGATTAGCCCCACAGCATATTTCACTTCATGATTTAACACCAAAACGCTTCCTAGGGGGGGGGGTAGTTTAGTTTAGAACAGATTAACTTAGGTTTAGCTTTAGGGTTGTTAAACTTAAGGTGAGGTAAGCTGGGGTGGCTAATCGTCAGTTGATCCAAAAGTTCGCTTGTAAGAATGGACCTTTTGTGACATCTTTCATCTTTCATCAGTAAAATATTAAAAAGGGACAATTCCCTGATTTACCTGTAAAGTAAAAAATGAAGTTACAGGAAAGAGAAAAAATGAGACAATCTTATTGATTATATTTATTGATTCCAGCAAACGATGGGTCAGTGGCAGAAGGTGTTCTGGATGTGTGTTCCCATCTACGGGTTGACGGAGATCTTCTACCTCATCTTCTGCTCCGGCACTGTCCAGTCCTGGAACTTCGCTGGTCAGCAGCAACGAAAAGGGTCTACGGACGAGGCTAAGAGTGAGCCTGAAACCAAGGCACTACACGAAGTGTCAAAGTAACGCTTCACTTTTCAGTGGTATTATGCATCACCTAGAGACTGCTGTCCTCCAGCACCTGTTCCCACAAGTATAAGACTTTAAGTCCTTACGGATACCAGATGTCAATAAAGAGTCTTAGCCTAAACTGAAAGATATCCAGCATCTGAGAAACCATGTTCCAGGAAAACTTAGATACTATGTTGCAATGTTCGGTGGATTTGGCATCCTGTGTACCGCCGGCAAGGCCGTGGTCTCGTAACACTCGTCTTGCCGGCGGTGCCCACCATTTCTCTGTGGATGTCGGTCACACTAGAATAACCAGTTATAGTACATCCTTATTTCCTCACACAGCCAGACTGTGGAATGATCTGCCTTCTTCTGTGTTTCCTTACTCATACAAGCTGTCTCACTTTAAAAGGCTGGTTTTCCGGCATCTCTACGGTGTAGAATAATATAACCTTTTTTTCTTTTCTATTTTTAATTTCTTTATTCTTATTTTGCGCCCCCCAGGCTCCGATGTGGATCGTTGACCTGTTCCCGGGTGGGCCAATCCCCGTAAAAAAAAGGAAAAAAAAAAAAGACCACAACCCTCCTCCGGTATCACGCCCTTGTTGAAGACCTCAATTGTTTCAGTGCAGTCAGGCATTACTCTTAAACCTCAAGTCTACAGAAACAACAAATGACTGTCTAAAACCAATCCTCCATCAGGAGCAGGTCCTCGCCGAAGACCAGATATCTCCGGTTTTGTGATTGAGAAGTGATTAGTGTTCTTAATGGTGTGGCGTTGTTGTCTTCTGGTTTTATGTACAGTTTATTATTAGTGTATAATTTGCTTTTGGTGATGCAAGTGGGTTTTTGTACTAGCTGGGAATATATCCCATTGAACACTATGCTATAATGCTCCCTGGCGTATGATATTTCACATGGCGATGGGGTTTTGAGGAACCTAACCCTATTGAAGATTGGGGTATATATAAGAACATAAGAATGGGGAAAATTGCAGCTAGCCTATTGGCCCATACTAGGCAGACCCGTTTACACCCAATCCCTATCGCTCATATATCTATCCAACCAGTATTTGAAGCTATCCAGGGTGTTCGAGTTAATGATGATGTTTAGTAATTTGTTCCACTCATCCACTACTCGATTTCTAAACCAATATTTACCTATCTCGCGCCTAAATCTAAATTTGTCTAATTTAAAACCATTGCTACGAGTTCGCTCCTGGTTGGATAATTTAAGTACCTTTGTTAATTTCCTTTCTTTAACCCTTACTTCCATTTATACACGTCGATCATATCGCCCCACACTCTATGTCTCTCGAGGGAGTGCAAATTAAGATGTTTTAATCTGTTTCTGTACTCAAGGTTCCCAATGCCCGGGATTAATCTTGTCATTCTCCTCTGAATTCGTTCTATGGAATCTTTATCTATTCGGTAGTACGGTGACCAGAACTGAACCGTGTAATCCAAATGAGGTCTCACAAGCGCAAGTATTAGTTTTAGGATAACCTTGTTTGTGTTGAAACTAACACGCCTTTGTATAAGCCCAAGTACTTTGTTAGGCTTGTGTACTTTACATTTATCCACATTAAATTTCATCTGCCATTTCAGACCATGAGAAACATTTGTTTAGATCTTCCAGTAGTTTAACAGAGTCCACGTCAGATTTAATTATACCCCCTATTTAATGTCGTCAGCAAATTTAATTACGTTGCTGTCAATGCCGATATCTATGTAGCTTATATACAAGTGATCGTGGGCCCTTCGTGCCATGTGGCGGGTCCGGTGGTACAGTTTACCGAGACGTGAAAGTTCGAACGCTCGTGCTTGGCTAGCGCGCAACCGCCGTCTGGCTGACAGAGTACAGCGACATCGTTTTCCAGGATAAATAAAATGCTTAATTAATACGTTGCTAAAGAAACCATCGACATGGGACCAGGTTTGTTCCACTCTACGACATTTTTTGCGATTTTTCCACCAGGTTTGATGAAAAACGATTGTGCCGTTTCGACTGCCCAGAAAAGACAAACAAACAGACACTCGGTATTCCTATAGTATATTAGAAGATAGATGGAAGATAGATGGTCGTGGTTGTTATAATCATGGTCGTGGTTGTTACAATCATGGTCGTGGTTGCTAAAATCATGGTCGTAGGTGTTTTAATCATGGTCGTGGTTGTTATAATCATGGTCGTGGTTGTTATAATCATGGTCGTGGTTGTTATAATCATGGTCGTGGGTGTTATAATCATGGTCGTGGTTGTTATAATCGTGGTCGTGGTTGTTATAATCATGGTCGTGGTTGTTATAATCATAGTCGTGGTTGTTATAATCGTGGTTGTTATAATCATGGTCGTGGTTGTTATAATCATGGTCGTGGTTGTTAAAATCATGGTCGTGGTGTTTAATCATGGTCGTGGTTGTTATAATCATGGTCGTGGTTGTTATAATCATGGTCGTGGGTGTTATAATCATGGTCGTGGTTGTTATAATCATGGTCGTGGTTGTTATAATCATGGTCGTGGGTGTTATAATCATGGTCGTGGTGTTATATTCATGGTCGTGGTTGTTATGATCATGGTCGTTGTTGTTATAATTATGGTCGTGGTTGTTATAATCATGGTCGTGGTTGTTATAATCATGGTCGTGTTGTAATAATCATGGTCGTGGTTGTTATAATCATGGTCGTGGATGGTATAATCACACTCATGGTTGTTATAATCATGGTCGTGGTTGTTATAATCAAAGTCTTGGTTTTTATAATCATTGTCGTGGTTGCTATAATCATGGTCGTGGTTGTTATAATCATGGTCGTGGTTGTTATAATCATGGTCGTGGTTGTTATATTCATGGTCGTGCTTGTTATATTCATGGTTGTGCTTATTATAATCATAGTCGTGGTTGTTATAATCATTGTTGTGGTTGTTATAATCATGGTCGTGGTTGTTATAACCATGGTCGTTGCTAAAATCATGTCGTAGGTGTTTTAATCATGGTCGTGGTTGTTATAGTCATGGTCGTGGGGTGTTTATAATCATGGTCGTGGTTGTTATAATCATGGCCGTGGTTGATATAATCATGGTCGTGGGTGTTATAATCATGGTCGTGGGTGTTATATTCATGGTCGTGGTTGTTATGATCATGGTCGTTGTTGTTATAATTATGGTCGTGGTTATTATAATCATGGTCGTGGTTGTTATAATCATGGTCGTGTTGTAATAATCATGGTCGTGGTTGTTATAATCATGGTCGTGGATGGTATAATCACACTCGTGGTTGTTATAATCATGGTCGTGGTTGTTATAATCAAAGTCGTGGTTTTTATAATCATTGTCGTGGTTTTATAATCATGGTCGTGGTTGTTATAATCATGGTCGTGGTTGTTATAATCATGGTCGTGGTTGTTATATTCATGGTCGTGCTTGTTATATTCATGGTTGTGCTTATTATAATCATAGTCGTGGTTGTTATAATCATTGTTGTGGTTGTTATAATCATGGTCGTGGTTGTTATAACCATGGTCGTGGTTGCTAAAATCATGGTCGTAGGTGTTTTAATCATGGTCGTGGTTGTTATAATCATGGTCGTGGTTGTTATAATCATGGTCGTGGTTGTTATAGTCATGGTCGTGGTTATGATCATGCTCATGGTTATGATCATAGTCGTAGGTGTTATAATCATGGTCGTGGGTGATATAATCATAGTCGTGGTTGTTATAATCATGGTCGTGGTTATTATGATCATGGTCGTGGTTGTTATAATCATGGTCGTGTTGTAATAATCATGGTCGTGGTTGTTATAATCATGGTCGTGGATGGTATAATCACACTCGTGGTTGTTATAATCATGGTCGTGGTTGTTATAATCAAAGTCGTGGTTTTTATAATCATTGTCGTGGTTGTTATAATCATGGTCGTGGTTGTTATAATCATGGTCGTGGTTGTTATAATCATGGTCGGTTGTTATATTCATGGTCGTGGTTGTTATAATCATTGTCGTGGTTGTTATAATCATGGTCGTGGGTGATATAATCATAGTCGTGGTTGTTATAATCATGGTCGTGGTTGTTATAATCATGGTCGAGGATGTTATAATCATGGTCGTGGGTGTTATAATCATGGTCGTGGTTGTTATAATCATGGTCGTGGTTGCTATATTCATGGTCGCGCTTGTTATATTCATGGTTGTGCTTATTATAATCATAGTCGTGGTTGTTATAATCATTGTCGTGGTTGGTATAATCATGGACGTGGTTGTTATAATCATGGTCGTGGGTGATATAATCATAGTCGTGGTTGTTATAATCATGGTCGTGGTTGTTATAATCATGGTCGTGGTTGTTATAATCATGGTTATGGTTGTTATAATCATGGTCGTGGGTGTTATAACCATGGTCGTCGTTGTTATAATTATAGTCGTGGTTGTTATAATCATGGTCGTGGTTGTTATAATCATGGTCGTTGTTATGATCATGCTCATGGTTGTTATGATCATAGTCGTAGGTGTTATAATCATGGTCGTGGGTGATATAATCATAGTCGTGGTTGTTATAATCATGGTCGTGGTTGTTATAATCATGGTCGTGGTTGTTATATTCGTGGTCGTGGTTGTTATAATCATTGTCGTGGTTGTTATAATCATGGTCGTGGGTGATATCATCATAGTCGTGGTTGTTATAATCATGGTCGTGGTTGTTATAATCATGGTCGTGGTTGTTATAATCATAGTCGTGGTTGTTATAATCATAGTCGTGGTTGTTATAATCATGGTCGTGGTTGTTATAATCATAATCGTGGTTGTTATAATCATAGTCGTGGTTGTTATAATCATGGTTGTGGTTGTTATAATCATAGTCAGGGTTTTTATAATCATGGTCGTGGGTGATATAACCATAGTCGTGGTTGTTATAATCATGGTCGTGCTAGTTATAATCATGGTCGTGGTTGTTATAATCATAGTCGTGGTTGCTATAATCATGGTCCTGGTTGTTATAATCATGGTGGTGGGTATTATAATCATGGTCGTGGGTGTTATAATCATGTACGTGGTTGTTATAATCATGGTCGTGATGTTATAATCATGGTCGTGGTTGTTATAATCATGGTCGTGGTTGCTATAATCATGGTCGTGGGTATTATAATCATGGTCGTGGGTGTTATAATCATGTACGTGGTTGTTATAATCATGGTCGTGATGTTATAATCATGGTCGTGGTTGTTATAATCATGGTCGTGGTTGCTATAATCATGGTCGTGATTGCTACAATAAGGGTCG